CGTTTTATTTTGTGTCACCAGCCTAGGTCGAGTTACACTAATCGAGTAACTGTGTTTAAATAGGAAAACGAGGAAGTGTTTTGTCACTTCTCTTTTTGGCCCATATTTAATGCACTGGGCTAAGCTAAGTGCTAACATAGTTTTGCGGCAATACAGAGCGATAGAGTGCACGCACTGAGACGAGAGAGGTATGCATCAGCTCGTCTTAGTTAAGGGAATAACATAGTTTAATATGAAAACCCGGTGGAGTATCCCTTTAAGAATGTTTATATTTTTACTGAAATTCCTAAAAAAAACTTACTGACACCAAACTTTTGAAAAGGGAAATGGTGATCCGATACTCAGTATCGGTATCGGTCAGATATGGAACTTTTTTGCTGGATCATGTATCAGTCAGCACAGGAACGATCGAAATTCGATACTGTGCGATACATATGGTTTTTACTGAAGGTTTAGTGCACTATATATTTCAAGTATTCTGAAGCCATATCATTGTTTTATTTGAGGAACAGACAGTAGTATATTTCATTGTTAAATTTACATTGAAATAAAATGTTCAATACACACAATATATACTCTTTGTGCTCTGTTATGAACGTTTCATTGTAGGAGTGAGGCTGGAGTGAGGCTTGCATGTAACTCCAAGTTGCATCATCATGCATCTGGGATTCACATTAGCACTTTTGTGCCGCTCTGTGTTAGAGCCTTTCATGTCACGTGTGTGTGTGTGAGTGTATGTGTAGTTCAGGTATGCCCTACATTATGAAAACATGAAAAAGTGGTATGGAGCCATCCCTACTTTTGAATGGTAGTGTATATGAAGAGTTCAGATGCAAAAGCCTCTAAATGCCATTTGAAATTTTCTTCTAGAATTCATAGGTAATCTTCATTGTCATTTAAGTGAAATTACTGAACTTAAATATATAAGCTTGATAAAAATGATCATTTTAGAAGAAAATTTCAAATGGCACTTAGAGGCTTTTGCATCTGAACTCTTCATATATACAATATTTGCAAATATATACAACAAAGATCTTCTACCTGCAAATCGTGGCACAGCAGGGGGGCGCCTACTGGGTGCACCACAGGGGTAGGACGGTGGCAAAGGTGGTACGCTGGGCCTGTATGTAGGTGAAGGCATGGGAGATACTTTCTGAGGTAGCGGAGGAGGTGCTGAGGAGGGGTGACTGGGAGGAAACAAAGCAGGAAGAGGAGGGGGAGGGAGAGGAGGTCCTAATGTACTGTCCTTCATTTCTAACTGGGGCGGAGGGAAGAAGACTCCAGATGAGCGGTTAGGGTGCGAAGATGGAGGTGGTGGAGGAGGCGGTGGGTAGAAGACACCAGATGACCTGTCGGGCACCGAGGAGGGAGGGATTGATGGAGGCGGTGGAGGGGGCGGAGGGTAGAAGACACCCGATGATCTGTCAGGAAGTGAGAACAGAGGAACCGAGGGAGGCAGTGGAGGAGGTGGAGTTGTGGGCATGGGAATGGAGTGTGATTGGACAGGTAACCAAGTGGGTTTGGCCATTTGAGGAGGAGGGGTGGGGGCGGGCCGGAGGGCAGAGAAGGAGGTCTATTATTGGGTCGCTCCTGAGGAGGAGGTGGAGGAGGGGCAGAGGAAGGAGGAGTAGATGATAGTTTAAAAGTAGGATGTGTCGTTTGGCTGGGGGAGGGCGGAGCTGTGTATGAGGAAATAGGCCGAGCTCTAGACAGTGAGGAGGTTCTCTCCAAAGGCCTGTGGGAAGGGGAAAGATCAGGGGCGCTTCCTCTGAAACCATCTCCTTGTGATGGAGGGTTCCAGAGAGGCTGCTTCAGGCTGGCGGTAGAGCCGGAACGAGACACTGAAACACAAACACGTCATGTCCAAAAAGTCATTCAAAAAATTTTACAGCACTGAAATACTTTATTCAGCATGACAATAAATAGATCTGACTTCAATACCCGGGTTGTGAGGTGGCAGTTTCTCTCTTTGTCCGACTGGTTTGAGCACAGGAAATCCTCCAGCAAACAGTCCACCCAGAGTTGGACCCACTGCAGATGGAGTAGATCCTGTTGTGTTTGCAGAATTCCCAGCAGACACATTTCTTCCACCGTCATCTACGCTATTCACTTTAGGTTCTGCAAATACACACATCACCATTATGTTTACAGCCAATGCACCAAGTATGTTCCTGGATCTATCGTATATTGTACATTATCACACATAATATAGTGTAGGTTTTTTGTGCAATTTAGGAGGGTCTGTCTTTAAAAGAAAGTGAGTGTTGTAACTTATTTAAAATGCACAGTAAGCAATTTTTGAAAAACACTGTTGATATTTGAAAATGACACCCAAACAAACACACCCCTACCCAAAGACACACTATGCAACACAGGAAACAGGAAATTGCCTGCGCAAGGATGGATAAATCAGCTTTGATTCAACAACAACAATAGCATTTCTTGGTTCGAACATACCGTAGCAAAACAAATGTTACTCACGTATCGAACATAAACAAAGCAACCCTGACCTCAGTTTTCAGGACTCCCCAGAAATGCTATTGGAAAGCTATTCCAATATTAACGCAAGTCCTCGTCTCATCGTAACCCTTTTTTTGCCAAATATATTTCTTTGACATTTTCCTCTTTGTTAATATCTTGACAATCTGTCTTTCTACAAATGTCCCGTTCACTCACTCTCTCTCTCCTATTGCTATTTGGTAGAGCCAGACCGATTTGTCGGCATGCCTATATTATCGGCCGATATTAGGCATTTTCCAAACTATCGGTATCGGCAGTTATAATGGCCGAAATTAGTATTTCAAAAATAAAATAAAAACGGACGAAACATGCTTCAATCATGTCATGAGTGTTGGAGTTGTATAGTTTGTCCACCAGAGGGCACTCTACACTGTCCCTGTTGGCAACACGTGTGTATAACGCGCCACACATCCTACAACCTGCTGATCCTGGGGTGCGTTTCCCGAAAGCATCGTTAGCCAACTATGGTCGCAAGTTCCGTCGTTATCTGTATAGTTTAACGAGTCGGTGTTTCCCGAAACCATCGTTCCAACGAACATTCGCAAACAGCATCGCAAAGTTGGGTGGTTTGAACGACAGCTCTTGGCCTGTGGTTTGAGGCATCGTTTCTATATTGCATGACATTTGGAGGTAATAAATCCTTATCTTGAGCAAAATAAGCAAGCTGACATTCAGTACAACCGGTGCCTTTTATCTCACAAATATGTCGAGAAACAGATCCGTGGTCTGCTGGTGAAGCAAGCCGAGCTGTTGGATCGGCGCTCAACGCTTGAAGCATCACGCGCCGATGCTCACAAATCAGTGGTTAGTAACGTTAACTCTTTGACTCCGACTTCGTCTACTCCGTGTGTTCCTCTGCCCAGGAGGACGCGATCATCTCGGGCTTCATTCACTCCGGCACCGAAACAACAACATGGACCATGGATCACACAGCGGAAGACACGAGACAGGACCAGAGCTACCTCTCCGCCCCTCCCGGTCTTCGAGATCTCCACGCGGAACCGCTTTTCCCCTCTTCGCGAGCCGGAACGCGACGACGCCG